AACAGAACAGTTTTACAGAATGACATTCATCTCAAAAAAGAAAAAAAACTTCAATGATCCGGTGAGGTTTAGCAATGGGTTTACAGTACACGGTTTAGCAACCCATTCCTAGTGGACCAAAGACTGTATAGAGAAACCAGGAATCACAGATAAGGTCTTTCTTCTTGCTTTGACAAAAATGCCAATGGATCATGAAAAGTAACACCATTCCAAGTGGGAAAAGGGGTCAGGTGGAAGGAAATCCCAGCACTGACAAAGACGAGGCTTCATGTTGGAAACTGGAGCTACTCTGGGGCCTAGGTGTCTGTGGTAAGCGGGCTTTGGAGAGAGAAAGGCCTGCCTTTGAATGCCAGCCCACCTCTCACCCGCCGGGTGGGCTTAGGCGGAGCGCCTAGCATGTGTGAGGCTCAGGTTCCTCATTTTCAAAAATGGGGAGTCAACTGCTTCCTCATAGGGTGATCATTAGGACTAAGCTAGGTAACGTAGATAATGTGCTAACATAGCCTGGAAAAAATGGTAACACCACTATTTCCATGGCTGGCTTGCGGGATGGATCTAACTGTTCAGCAGGTCTTACCTCACGTCAAACCTATGGACAGAGCCCGGAGAGAATGTGCTACATCTCCGTTATGCTTCCCAGATGACAAAAACAAAATTTACTCCAACTTTCTGGCCAATTTTTTAGAGCCAACAAAAGGTTAGAAAAAAATAAAAATATACCACAAGTACCCACTACCAATGTATTATATCGATGAATTTCCTGAGAAGATAATTACCTGCTGGCTGAATCCTCAGAGTGGTTTGATCTGTCTGCTTTTTGGTGATGAACGTCCAGGTTTCGTCTGGATCCTGAATCCATTCCACTGCCTCACAGAACAGCTGGCCTTGATCTGAGGGCTGGAGCCTCTCTATGGATAGCGTGAAGGTCGTGGCCCCAAGCTTGCTGAACCGCACATCGCCGGCTGCAAACCTCTCTGTATACAAGGGCCCGGGGATCAGCATAAAGTCTTTGGAGAGAGAAATAATCTTGGTGGCTGGGCTTCTTCCTCCATCCTGTGTCAGGTACCAGGTGACAGAGAGGTGAGTATGTTGACCTGTGGCTTTGGATGCCTCACAGGTGAGTTCTAATGGCTCACTTTCCTCTTTTCTGAGAGTCTGAGAACTCATGGTGACAGAGAGGGTATCTGGAATAACTGGAAACAAAGAAACGATAATAATCTGATGGGCCCAGTGCTTGTCCAATTAATCTCCTTAGGTGAAGATGGTGCCCTGAACCACCACCTGCAAAGCACAGACTTTGAATTGGTTTTCCACTAGCCATATGCTTTCCTGTCCATATGCTTTCCCTATTGCCAATGGGGACGCTGGCATCTACGTATAGTTTATGGAACTTGGCAAAGCAAATGGCTCACTGATGTACTGATCCTGGCTTTGCTTCATCAGCATAGGCTGTAACCAATTTAACTACTATGTATTTAAAGGGAGAAAGCAGTCGGAGGCAGAAGACATAGATTCTGATCCTCAATCCATCCTTATCTGACTACATGAATTTGGGTACCTCGCTTCACCTTCCTGGGCCTTAAACTGCTCCTTTATAAGGTTCTGAAATAGTCTGTTCTAATTTATCATTTAGAGTCAAAATGTAACCCTTACCAAAGTTTTGGTAACTATCTTACTATCTACCTTTTCATTCTTTTCTTCCTCAAATGAAATCACACAGCCTAAGCTTATGTGAAAGCAACAGTTTGATTTAGTTTTCAATGAATATATTAATATCAATATTACTGAGCATCTACTCATGCTAGCTATTTGCCAGGAGCTGAGACAAGCATTCTCTTCTCAAGGAGCTCAGGGTGTGGTGGGGGAGAGGCATATAAATAGTCAATCACCACACAACTGTGTAAGTGCTAAAATAGTGATATGAATAGAGCATCCAGAGGAAACAAAAGTGGGAATACTGCCCAAGGCAGTCAGGATGGGTTCTACAGAGGAGGTAATATCTAAATTGGGTCCTGAAGTATGTGTAGGAGTTTGCTAAGCTGAAAAAGGGATGATAGAAATTCCAGGCAAAGGGACAAAGTGACAATTGCAAGGACTATGACCCTCTTCTCATGGGTAAATATGCTAGAGAATGAGCGTTTGAGGATAATCATTTCTAAGTTAACGATTTATCACCTATGATGTTAACACCAGCTCTCTTACTAGGTCACTGTTTTGCCTCTAAGCAGAGGCAACACGGGAAGAGCTGTCGCAGGTTTGTCTAAAGCTATTGCTATTACCAACCTACGGACAGCTGTCTGTGGATGAGGCTGCGGGAGAACCACACACCATGTAAATCTTTACGGCAAAGATGATTGAGAAAAATGAACTGATGGTTTTACAGAATATGAGATACCCACTTGTGACAAATCTCCAAAATATCCAGAGAACTAGACAGGCTCTTTCCCCAAAGCAAACGGAATAATATAAAACCAGATCACATTGCAAGGCACTGTGACGGTAGAGACTCTGCCTTCTCAGGGGCTGGCCAGTGTTAAGTGCACAAACTGCTTACCAATTAGTTTGGTCTTTGCACTGTAACTCCCATAGTATTTCCCATCAGTGTTCGGTGTGTGACACTCATACTCGCCAGCATCCTTCATTTGGAGCTCCGAGATGTGCAACAAGACTGAGTTGCCCTGGACCCTCTCCACGTAGATTTCTCCGTTTCGCACCCGCTGTGCATACATTGCGTAGGAGAAATCGGCATCCTTGGTGCTAACGATCTGAACCTCCTGGGTCGGGGCTGACGGCAGGTAAATAGACCACTGGAAATGCTGCTCAGAGGGTCCCCGGTGGCCAGTTACCTTGCAGCCAATGCTGACAGGGTAACCTTGAGCTCTGAACAGTGGTCCTTTCTGAACTGTTACTTCTCTCTGGCCAATGCAGAGCTTAGCTTGCAAGTAGGAGAAAGAAAGGGGAATAAAAATAGATTAGCACTCCAGTTCCCAATGTACCACATAATATAGTTCCCTGCATTACAATTCCGGTAAATGAGATCGCAGGTTATTAGCTATAATCAACTCAAATGCTCAACATCTTCTCCAGCCTGAGCAGCCGTGGAATGGCTTGATGAGTTAATTTTTCTTTTGTACCTTTAACTTCCATAGTAATCTCCAGTCTCTTTAAAAAAAAAAAGCTTAGTTTCATCAATGTAACATGACCACTTCTACAAAACATCTGCTTGTCTAAGTGTACTATTTTAAAGCGAATACTATGTATGGTGATTCGCCTCTTACATGATTTTATGGGAAAATTCAACATATATTGCCTCAAGCTTCAAATTCCAGGGTACCTGTCATCGGGCAGTTCCCACACAAGTTGTCGCTGGAGCAGCGTAATCTACAACTTTGCCTTTAATGCCATGATTCTTCTCGCTGGTTGGCTGGAACCTATTTGTAGCCTTTGGGCAGGTCTGATGTAAGTCTAGCTAAAATTAGCATCAGAAGAGGCAGTGATACTTTCTTTCTAAACTGCGGAGGTATTTTTATGTTTTGTCATTCCTTAGAGAGCCACTACAGCATTACTGAAAAACTTCGTAATAGATGGCTACGAAGTCCAGTAGGTTCTGGGCTCAGAATTTATTTTAGTTCTGTTCTTACCAAAAGTTTTCAGTTGGGACCACCAGGGAATGTTTTCAATTGGAATAAATCTCAAATATTAGGTCTAAAGGAGAAAACATGATTAACTGGTAACATTTCATTTGACGAATTTTTTTAAAACCAAGCATTTTTCAGAAATCGACAAGTGTATGTTTCCTTGTTGTGATTGATATCGCAGGCTAGTTCATTCCGTGTTACAGAAGGAGAAAGACAAATGACAGACACGCCACAGGGTGGGCCAGGTCCTTCACTCGGGGCCCAGGGCCCAGTGGAAGGGAAGACAGGGTTGAAAGATGTCAGAAGGGCCCGCCAGGGAGTGATTGCTGGTGTTACGGAGTTAGCAGAATAGAGTTCTTAAGAAGATGTGGAAGAAGCAGAGCACCTGCTGAATTTTGTGACTCCATGAGGACCAAGAGCAAAGGAGACTAGAGTGGAAAAAAATGTGAGGGAAAGGAAAAATGACATGATAAAGAGCATGATAAGGCTGAGCATGGGAATTTGGGATGAAATAAAAACGATTCTAAGGGATTGAAGGAGGCCTACAAAAAAAAAAAAATTGCAGAAAGGGTAAGTGGTCACCTGATGCAGCAACTAAAAATTGCATGTGTATGCTCGATCTAAAACTGGGAAGCAAACAAACCAACAGCCAACCAACTGTCAGCCAGCCACACACATTTCTAGTAATGATTTAAAAATACGCAAATTCATTCATAATCCCAATTAATGTGACATATGTATATCATGCTCTTTTTGTAATAAGTATCTAGGAATAGAAGTTAGACCACCTTAGAAAAATTTAAATTATTACTTACAAAAAAGTTATACTCCAGAGGCAGTTTAAAACACTTTTCAGTAATGCCCTCTTAGAGAAGTGTGTGCACCAGCCTATGTGTAAAAGAATATTCATAGCTACACTGTTCATTAAGCCACAAATAAGAGACAACCCATATGTCCACCAACAGTAGAATGGATTAACTGTGGTATATTTATAAAATGGGATATTATACAGAAATAAAAATCAACAAATTATAAGTATTTGCAATAACATGGATGACTATGTTCAATGAAAGATGCAAAAACACTTTTGAATCCTTTTGACTACATACAGAATGATTCTACTATCTATAAATTTGAAAACAGGCAAAACCACACTGTATTGTTTAGTGATGCATTACATAAGGGGTAAAGTCATTTTAAAAAATGCCAGGAAGTTGCTATCGTGAAAGTCAGGAAGGTGACTGTGTAGGGGAGTGATATGACCTCATGGGGCACACTGCAGGGTGGGCAGCAGGTGCTTCTAGTATCTTATTTCTTTTCTTTCCTCTTTCCTTTTCCTTCATTCTTTTTTTTTCTTCTTCTTTCTTTTGAGACAGAGTCTCACTCTCTTGCCCAGGCTAGAGTGCCATGGCATCAGCCTAGCTCACAGCAACCTCAAACTCCTGGGCTCAAGCGATCCTCCTACCTTGGCCTCCTGAGTAGCTGGGACTACAGGCATGCGCCACCATGCCCGGTTAATTTTTTCTACATATTTTTAGTTGTCCAGTTAATTTCTTTCTATTTTTAGTAGAGACACAGTCTCGCTCTTGCTCAGGCTGGTCTCGAACTCCTGAGCTCAAACAATCCACCCGCCTAGGCCTCCCAGAGTGCTGGGATTACAGGCCTGAGCCGCCGTGCCCAACCTTTTTTTTTTTGGACTACAGGCACGCACCACCATGTCTGGCTAATTTTTTTCTTTTTTCTTTTTCTTTTTTGTTTTTTATAGATTTTTTTTTTGGACTACAGGCACGCACCACCATGTCTGGCTAATTTTTTTCTTTTTTCTTTTTCTTTTTTGTTTTTTATAGAAACAGGTTCTGGGCTCTTGCTCAGGCTGGTCTTGAACTCCTGGCCTCAAGCAATCCTCCCACCTCCCACTCCCAAAGCGCTAGGATTATAGGCATGAGCTACCCCGCAGGCCTAAGTAATTGTTTCAAAGGGTTAAGGAAAAGCTTCCAGCTTCACGTTTTTGAACTTCAATTACTGGATCTGCAAATACCAAATCCATGGCTGTCTCCACTGTTTCTCGAAGCCTCCTGAAAAAGCCAGTACCTGGGGAGTGCTCTGGGCTAGAGATGTAGAGTAGGTCAGTTACATACAAGCGTTAGGAAGTGTTAGGGAATATAAGGAAGAGGGGCTAAGGAGAGATAACTAGGGAATCTCTCAGTTTAGGGGATGGGATGAGGAACAAAACCTACAGAAGGAAGCTTTAGGGAGGTAGAAGGGCAGCCGGACACAGCAGCTTGGAAACCAAAGGAGGCAGAACGTTCCTGTAGGAAAGGGCTTGTCTGGACGGCCAAAGGCTGTTGAGAGGTAGGGGACGTTAAAGGCAGAGAAAAATCCTTTTAGTGTGATGATAAGGATGTCCATGGAGATCTTTGTAAAAGTGATTTCCATAGAGCAGAAGCAGCGGTTCCCAGGATAAGAAGGACTGCAGGAAGTACAAACACTTCAAGAAGTTTCATGGAGAAGAGAAAGAGAAGACCAGGGTGGCGGCTGGAACGAGTAGCTGGGCGAGGAGAGGTGGGGAGGGGCAGGATGGAAAATGGGTGAAGTCAGAGAGGAGGATGAGTGGAGTACGGTCCTGGTGGAGGCGTGAGGTCAAGAAGAGACTGGGCGGATGCTGTGGTCTGAACGTCTGTGTGCCCCCCACACTCACACGCTGAGACCTGCCCCCCAAGGTGATGGCGTTAGGAGGCGGGGCTCTGGGGAGTGACTAGGTCACAAGGCCTCTACCCTGATGTACGAGATTAGTGCCCTTTTAAAAGAACCCAGAGAGCTACTCGTCCCTTCTATTATGTGAGGACATAGCAAGAAGGTGCTGTCTATGAGGAACGGGCCCTCGCCAGATGCCAAATCTGCCGGCACCCCGGACTTGGGACTTCCCAGCCTCCAGAACTGTGAGAAATAAATTCCTGATGTTTCTAAGCTATGCAGTTTATGGTGTTTTTGCTATAGCAGCCCAAACAGACTAAGACGTACTGCTTTCTCAAGAAAGGGGAAGAAATGGTGTAGAGGTTTCAAAAGTATTTTTGAGGTGGGAAGAAATGACTGACAAAGATCAGTTCCAATGGCTGTGCCTTGGGATCATCTACTCAAGCATCTGATTTTCAATATGTTCTCTGTGGGCTGTTGCAAGTACATACCTCTCTTCCTCCTAAAGAGTCAAATACCTATAAGGACTGTGGCATTGTTTTCTCTTTGAATGGATAGAGGGTTAGGTATCTTTGAACAGTGGCTCACATTCTTGGTGACCAATGAGTACACAGCTTGGCACTGTTACACTGACACTGGAATCATGCTTTCAAAACATAAAAAATTCCTCGATGGTATTGGCCTTTTTCAAAAATATCACTGGAATTGTCAAATTTACCATTGTACTATTATTTCAATGGAAATTATTACGTTGAACCACATAAAATGGCCCATATTTGACCATTTTTGATGCCAAAACCCCAGCAATTTTAAATAATTCTAACTTATAGAAAACCTACCTAGAAAACAGCCAACATAATAAGCAGCTTCTCTTTCTTTACAGATTCAAAAACCCTCTATGATTGGAGGCTGAGATAGCTCCCATCCATTTCCAAAAGTGAAATCTTTCTTTTTTTTTTTTTTGATCAGTGCAATCACAGTAAGACAAAATACCGCCTCCCCCAACCCTGCCATGTTAATGGCTCTGACGTGCAGGGTGGCTCGTTATGGGGAGAGGTGATAGATCAGGTGGACTGAGCTAACTGCTAATACCAAGATCTCATTTACCCATTACGTTAACCTCATCCAGCACCATATTCTAACAGGATTATTCAGTCTTTATAGTTATAGCAAAAAATAAGTTGGGACAAAGTATACATCTGCTAAACAATATAATTGATCAGTCGATCATCATTTAATTAATTTCCTTCGTTTCCCCTCTGTATTTGTAATGGCGAATAGCAGGCTTCCAAAGCTATTTCAAGGGTCTCACTCTGTTGCTGGGGCTAGAGTGCAGTGGCATAATCACAGCTCACTGCAGCCTCAAACTCGTGGGCTTAAACAATCCTCCTGTCTCAGTCTCCTGAGTAGCTGGGACTATAGGCACATGCCACGATGCCGGCTAATTTTCCTACTTTTTGTAGAGGTGCGGTCTCGCTATGTTGCTCAGGCTCGCCTCAAACTCCTGGCCTCAAGCAATCCTTCCACCTTGGCCTTCCAAAGTGCTAGGATTATAGGCATGAGTCTCTGCGCTCAGCCTAAGTAATTGTGTGAAAGGGTTAAGGAAAAGCTTCCAGCTTCCCCTTTTGAACTTTGGTTACTACTTTTCCTTCCCTAGGCCTTATAGCCCAAGTAAAAAAAAAAAAAAAAAGAGAGAGAGAGAGAGAATTTGCAATTCTCTGAATTATTGCACAATGTAAACCTAGTTTCCCCCATACACAAGGCAAATATACACTCCAAATACACAAAGCACATACACTTGAGAATCACAGTCAGACAACTGAACAGAACGAAGAGAAACACACCGGCCCCCCAAGGATCCCGCTGGGTGCACCTATCCATCAACACCTGCCAAGCCAGTCTGGCAGGCGTCCATCACCCAGCAAGTGGTCCTAGCAACTTCCACTGCAGACTGCCTCTCTCCCCATCAGGCCCCAGACCTGATCCTTAGCTCATATTATCATATATCCCCTAAGATATGAACCTGGTTCAATTCAAACAGTGTTTATTAGGCAAACTCTTTGTGCTGAATGCTGCACTTCTTTAATTCTTTAGCCACAGCCCTGGTCACACCGATTACAGCTGGGTTTACTTCCCCCATCGTCCCAGCCCTTCTGTTCCCTGCACTAACTCACTCTAGCCAGTCTCTCTAAAGCAAAAGTTCTTTTTTCTTCTCTTTTCTTTTTTTTCTTTTCTTTTCTTTTTTTTTTTGAAACAGGGTCTTACTCTGTCACACATGCTGAAGTGTAGTGGCATCATCATAGCTCACTGCAGCCTCAAACTCCTGGGCTCAATCCTCCCATCTCAGCCTCCAGAGTAACTGGGACTACAGGTGCATGGCACCATGCCTGGATAATTTTTTTTTTTTATTTTTATTTTTTGTAAAGAAGAGGTCATGTTATGTTGCTTAGTCTGGTCTCGAACTCCTGGCCTCGCACAGTCCTCCTGCCTTAGCCTCCCAAAGTGCTAGGATTATAGACATGAGCCACCGCACCTGGCCTAAAGCAAGAGTTCTTAACCTGGGTGCACATATAGAATGAAAGGGTCCATAGACTAGGGTGAAAAAAAATCTCCTACATCTTTATTTTCATTAACCTCTAATGGAAATTTAGTATTTTCTTCAGTTATGAATGTAGACAACAATGCACAGATATTTTCACATCACATTACAAATGTTACAGATATATTGAAATATTATTCATACTCATCAGTACTTTGAAGTTTGGTACATTATAGGCCTACCTCTAGATCCTGTTATATAATGCGTAAAGAAGCAAACAAATTACTTCATCACGATATATTAAAAATATTTTGGTAACTATTTCAATATGACTGATTTTCTCTATAACCCTGTACATTTTATTTTATGCACTTAAAAAATTATTCTGAGATGGGGTCTATAAGTATCACCAGATGCTAAAAGAAGCTGTAGCACAAAAAAAACCCTGCTACCTACTCTACCTAGTCTGAAACTATTTCATTCCGTGCCCAATTCATCTGATTCTCCCTTCTACTTCCAAATTTCCCCTTCCTCTACCGTATTATAACATATATACAGGCCCCTGAGGTAAGGCCCTCCATACGGCCCTCAGCAGAGCCAAATGAATCTTCCTGCTCCCTTCTCAGTCTCTCAGTAGCTAATTCCCACTTTGGCTGGTGGGTGAAATTGAGAACCTTTTTGTAGTTAGTCTGCTAAAACTACTAAGTGCTCTCATAACCTTTCCTCCCATCCAGCCACATCCCCAAGGCATATTTATATAGCCAAATTCTAACATCTGGCAAACCTTGAGTTCTCCTCTCAGTCTGGGAAGCAAAGCCTTTTACTCTCTCTTGAGATGGTTAGCCCAGGAAGATTAGGGAAAGCCAGGGCCAAGCAAAACTGGTAGATCTGGCAACACAGACAAATATAAAAAAACAATGGAATCATCTGTAAGGAACCCAGCCAAGCATTGCACCTCCTAGAACTCTAGGATGTCTAGGTAAGCCGAGAATTGTCATCAGTAAGTTAGAAGTCATTGCCAACATTAGAAATACATGGCAGAGTTGTTCCTGTAGAGAACAAATTGTCCCACTCCATCACCCAGAAGGCTCCAGGCGGCCAGCTCCTGCGACAATAGAAACATTCAGGATTATGAAACTTACTCAGAAAGAGAAAGAAAGTGGCCACATATGAGAAGCCTGCCATTTGTGCCAGCACAGACCTTTCCCGTCCTGGCGGTGTCACTGATGTTGCCCAGAAGCTGAGTGGCAAGTACTGTGCTCTCACGCAAAGGTAAAGAGGAAGCAATAGTGTGGTTTTCAGCCACTGAGAAACACAATGGCTTGCAAAAAGCAAAACTGGTTACATTATACCGTTCTTTGCTAATCACACAAATTTGGGTGTGAAAAAGTTATCTTCATGGTTTAGTAAACATATAAAGATAAAAATGAGAAAAGATGGGTCTCATCCTGCCTTAGTATGTGTCATTTGGTAATGATGAGGGAGTTTAAGTAAACCTAATAAATAAAAAAAGCAACCAGGGTTTTTCTCTTCTTGGCCCGTATCTCATCTTCCATCTTGGGAGAGGAAATGACTGAGAAAATCGAGAAGGGTCCCTGGACCCTTATGAACCTCAGGTGACACGTGGTGGTGGTAAAGGTGACAGGCTCTAGAGTCAGGCTGCCTTCGTTTGCACACAGATTCCACTTTTAGTAGCTGTGCTATCTTAGAAAAGCTAATTAGCATTTTCTAACCCTCATCTCTAAAATAGGGTTACTAATAGTGTGTACCCCATATAACTGCTGCGAGAGCTGGATGAGCTAATTCATTTAAAGCACTTAGAACAATATTTGGTACATAGTAAGTGCTCAGTGAATATTAGCTTCCATCATCACCATTGTGAGACATGTAAGTAAATCTTCATCTGCTCGATGTGGGCCCGGGCACCAAGGATGGCAGAGGAGTGCCTAAATACAACAGTTGGCCCTGAACCCAGGCCAATTGAATACTACTCTAGTCCTAGAGTTCTCAGGAAGCTTCCACTAAATCAGATAATCACAATGTAATATGGCAGCCATCAGTGAGGCACCTAAAGTGGCCAGGGGAAGCTGGTGGGCAGGAGGGAAGGTCAGCATGGATTGGGCTGGGCCAAGTGAGTCACGGAGTTGCCTGGGGAGGAAGAAGGCCAAAGAACAGTTGAGGAGAAACAGTCTGGCATGGACAGTGACACACAGGCTGTACCCTCCCGTTGGAAGAAAGTTTGAGGCTGGTGTGAAAGGACAGGATCTATTCAGGTAGGCCGGGGCAGATCTCTGTGGGCTTTGCATGCCAAGCCTAAGAGCTTGGCTTTTATTGTGAAGAAGAGGGGGGCTCTTAGGAGGGTTTTTAGCAGGAGTATAGTCTGGTCGGATTTTCCTTTTAAATTGAATTCCATTACTTGTGTATTGCCAAGTGGTAGAAAGGTGAAGGCAGAAGACAAGGCTAGAAGCACGAAGGCCAGTTACAAGATTTTTGTACTTGTCTGTATGAGCAATGAGGAGGACCTGGACTAGGGCATTTAAAATAAACACAGAGGAGGGATAAATAAAATAATTAAATGCTTACTGAGTATGCCCTAAACAGCATGCACCCTAGCAGGTGCTAGAGCTCCATACATAATTAAAGTATAGCCTTGCTCTTAAGGGGCGTCTGTTTGTGAGGATAGAGTATGGTGGAGGTGAGTAGGAAAGAAGGAAGAACATGATTATCACCCAGGGGAAACTAGCGGAGACCCCCAGCAGACACACAAGTAAAGAGATACACATATTGGAAAGAAGGAGAGGGCATATCTAATTCGGGGAGAATGGGAAGCCAGTAAAATCTTCAGGGGAAAGGTGGCCTTTTAAGATAAAATTTATTTTCCTAGTGGGAGTTATAGTAGAATAGGGTAAATATTCTACAAACTCAGGTCTGGAATCCTTTAACTTCATTCATTCATTCATCTATCTATCCATCCATCCATCTACCCATCCATGTCTGTGGCTTTATTCATTAGCAATGATACCTAACAATTAGCCCCCCAGTGACAGTCAACCTACAAATATTAAAGTCTTAAGTGAAAGATTCTGTACTTCTAGGTATCTTTTCAAGGTATTATGCAAGGCTTGGGTGATAGAAGAAGTGTAAGAGGGGCCCTGCCCTGGAGGAACTTGGAATCTAGTTTAATAAACAACTACAGATAAGAAACAGTAGCCATAAAAGGCAACATGGGTCAGGTAACCAATTCATGGCTCAGGCAAAAAATACCCAAGAGGTAATAGGCTGAAGAGTCAGGAACAGCCACAGAAGGTTATTCAGTAAAGGCTGGTTTTAGGTAGATCCTTGGAGATGTGGTGTGATTCAAATAGGCAGGGAGAAGAGGGCAGGACATTCCAGAAAGGAGAAATAAAATATACAAAGGCAGAGCAGGGAGGAGCAGATAGTATTTAAGGAACAACTAAGGGGAAGCTTGCCTGGAATGCAGATGTCAAACTACCTCTCCAGGCTGTTAACTGTAATAACAGCAGAGCTTAAATTATAGGAATTTGTTCACCATTTCAGTTGGAGAAGTCATGGGTCACGGCCATGCACCAACATTTTACGCAAATGTACTCTATTGGTTAGCTACTGCTGTGTAACAAATGATCACAAAACTTTCGTGGCTTACAACAGTAAACATTTATTTTTGCTGACAAGCCTATGGGTCAGCTGGGTGGGTCTGTTAATGTAGGTGGGTTTGCTCATTTATCTGTGGTCATCTGACAGGAGCTGGCTGGTCTAGGGTAGCCTTGGCTTGGATGACTTGGCTCTCCTCATGAGTCTCTCATGGTAGTGTCAGGATTGCAAAAGAACTCGTGGGAACACACCAGCACTTTTTAAACTCTCTACTTACATCAGGACCACTAACATCCCACAAACCAAAGTAAGTCACATGGCCAAGTACAAATGCAAGAGATGGGTTTGTTAACAGATTCTGCCTCCTTATGGAGGGGAACTGCAAGGTGACGGAGCAAAGGAAGAGTTAAAAAAACAAAACAAAACGAACAAACAAAAAAACCCAAAAACCGAAAACTGGGGCCATCAATGCAATCAATTTGCCATGTGCGCTGAAAAGGGAATTGTTAGAAATAAACATTGGCCACAGATAGGATCCTTGCCAATAGATAGAGTACCCTGTATCCATGAAATGTACACAACCAACTTCTTATTCCTGGCTGTTGCCAAAACATTTTTTGTATTTCCAGTTTAGTAGCTTTTTTCCTGCCAGAATTTAACATTGACAGGATGATGTCACTTCTTTTCTGGAGGGAAAAAAGCACCTTTCTGTTGTCAAGGAAAAAAAAAAAAAGAAAGAAAAGAAAAAAATAGAGCTGGCAAGAGAGACAGTTATTTTATTACCTTGAGAACCACTGGATTGCAATTGGATCAGTTGAGAGGAATGTGAAAATGTTGTTCCTGATTCAGATGGAGGGAGAGCACCAATACTGGACAAAGCAACCAGGAATGTAGTAAGGAAAAATTCTGTTCCAGTTTCTGGAACTAATAAAAAGAGATTTTTTTTTCAGGTTGACATGCTCCAATATTAGTTCCACAGAATCAGAAATTGCAGGTATTGTGGCCTCCTATCACAAGCATTCAGGCCCAAGAAATATTTAAACGGGGCCTTTTGCACATCAGGCTCTGTGCGAGGCACTTCACATATACAACTTTACAGACTAACTCGTATCACTATGCAGTAGGTATTACTCATCCTGTTTTACAGATGAGAAAACTGAGACTCAGAGACATGGACTAACCTATTCAAAATCTTATGGCCAGAAAATGGCTGGATTCTAGGCTGCCTTCTCACTTTTGGGTTGGTGCTCTAACAAACCAAGCTTGCTACTCATGATTTTTGGAAGGCAGAGTAGAGGAGAGTGGGCGGCTAAAAGATGGGGGAAGCTTCTAAGGGGTTAGTCAGCAGGAAGCTGATCATTATTTTGTCCCTTTCCCCGCTTGAGCTCTTAGAATTCAGGCCGAATTGACACAAGTCCACAGGGCCCAGACGTGCCCACATACAGGAGGCGCTGTGGTTGAGTTTCACCTCTGCATGTCTAGAACACCACGCAGTCGCAGCCTGGGAAGGGAGCACGGTGATCTCAGTCAACTCCCTCATACAACAGAGGGGTAAACTGAGGTCTGAGCAGGCTTGGTTTTGACTTGGTCCCTGTGATGTAGAATGACGTCCAGGGGTCGACTCCGCAGCCTCTTTGCTCTTACTTCCCCTGGCCGGCTTCACCAGGAGCTGACAATTAGCCAAGGCTGAAGAGGTTTTCGAGGTGGGTGGCAGCTCCTCCTGGAAAAGCATGAACTAAATTTCTACTCACAGAGGCAAAGGCCAGGGCATGGGGTGAGTGTGGGGATTAGGAGCAGGGTATGGGGAATAGGGCGTGTTTAGCTTCCAGGTAGAAGAAGAGAAAGAGAAACAGATGGGATTCCTAGGCCATTTCCTGTTTCTAAGTGAACACTTTCTTGGGAGGGTTTATTCCTTAAATGTCCTATGAAGTGTTAACTGACAACAGCTCTAATTAAAAAAAAGTTTGGGTAGGTGGTGGCTAGGAGCTCAGAATGGGCCCCAGAGGGGAAAAGGAGGGTAGGGGACAGGAAGCTCCCTTAACCTGGGCTCTAGACCCCTCCTACCCGCCCCCCCCACGCCCCAGGGACAGACACCCATCCACTGTTTTGCCAGTGAAGAAGTCTCAAATGTCTCCCATCCTACTAAATAGCCAACTTTTTACCCCAGTTCCAAACCATTTCCTCTTCTCTCCTCTCTTCAAACTTCCGACAGTTTCCTGGTGTTTGGCATTCTGTTTGATTTCCTAATTTTCACTGGCACTTCAGCCCACTGGGATCTTGGCTTGAATCCACTTAGACTTCCAGAGTCACAACAGAGGACATAGGTCACTTGGCTCAACCTTTCTGTGGTATGTTACGGCTGGCCATTGGCAAACCCGCTTGGAATCCTTCCCTTCCTCCGTGGATCCCACTCTCTCCCCAGGATTTTCCCTCATCCCTTTGGGAGCTCCTCCTCTGCAACCCGCCCCTGACGCTGTAGTTTTTGCAGGGTTGTCTTCAGCCCTTCTCTCCTTGTGCTGCTGTCTCTCGTTCCCGATCTGTCCAGTGACAATCACAGACCTTCAACCCACTTC